TGGTGGTGGTCGTAGTAGTAGTAGTAGTAGTAGTAGTAGTAGTAGTAGTAGTAGTAGTAGTAGTAGTAGTAGTAGTAGTAGTAGTACTAGTAGTAGTGGTAGGAGTAGCGTAGTGGTGGGGTAGTAGTAGTAGTAGTAGTAGTAGTAGTAGTAGTAGTAGTAGTAGTAGTAGTAGTAGTAGTAGTAGTAGTAGTAGTAGTAGTAAAGTGGTACTAGTAGTGGTGGTAGCAGCAGTGGTAGTAGTATTTGTTGTTGTAGTTGCAGCTGTCGCAGTCGTAGTCGTAGTCGTATGGATCAGTCCCAGCAGTCGTTTTCAGTATCCTCGTCGCTGTCTCGTCGTAGTTGTTGCAGCAGCAGTAATCTGAGTCGCAGTAGGACACATACACCGTTAGTAGTCCCAGGGGGCAGACACGGTATATGTGGTGGCGCTACAAGTCAGAATAGTACCACCATGCAGGCAACACGAGAGATAGCAATAGCAATGATTTGGCTTCCACATCGAACTGTTAATGCTCGTCATTGAAAATTGCGTGGCGATGCTTTACAGAAGCCAACGGGATCAATTGTTCCGTGTGGCCCCTTGGTGATGACGCGAGCAGCCACGGTCAAAGCAACATGTGCAGTTTATGCCGTTCGTATAGTTCGGCGTGTTCCACGGATCGTGCCCATCGACGTACTATAACCCCGTGCGGGCGATAATAGTACCCCGGGGATAATAAAGTTCGGGGTTCTGGCGGGGATGATAACAGATTTTCCCGGGGAAGGCCAGTTATGATGATGATGATGATGATGATGATGATGATGATGATGATGATGATGATGATGATGATGATGATGATGATGATGATGATGATGGCGATGACGATGGTGATGATGGTGATCCTGGGCGCTCGGCACAAGGCTGATTCGAGAGATCTCGAGGCTCGTGGCTACTTGCCAGCAGGCGCACGGCACAAGGCTGACTCGAGAGATCTCGAGGCTCGTGGCTAAGCAGGCGCTTGGCACAAGGCTGACTCGAGAGATCTCGAGGCTCGGACCTGCATTTTGCCAGCGCAAGAGATGTCCTTGGCCGAACCGACATGAAATTATCGCAACTTCGATTCGCAACTTGTCCCGTGGATTATAAAGTTCGGCCTCCGCGCCCCTCTCCACAATCAAATCAATCCAATTGGACGGGGATAAAGAAATAGGAGGGGGGAAGTGGGGGTTTAATATTATCGCCCGCGCTCGGTTAATTGGTTGGGGGAGATTTCTCCATCAGGTGGCAATGCGATTCGCAAGTACAGAACTCGGCGCAACAGACGCAGCAGTCGAGGCATGCTTTCTTGCACTTTGATGGCCGATTTGGTTTTTCTCGGCCGCAAGTGTGGTTCTCTGCAAGCCATTGCTTTCACTTCGGGGAAGAATGTGCGTCTGTGAGTGGGAGAACTGCTTTGTCCGCGCGTGTGATCACGCGAGCGACGGAAGCCGACGGGGCCGACTGCGCGGACATCTGCTCGCAGGCTGCCCGCGTGAAGATGGTGCGTCGGCGCCGTCGTTTCCAATCTGGCGCGCCGTGCTTGCGGCCCGCGCAAGCCACAGCGCAGGGCCGCCGGGTCATGGCTCACACTGCCCGTTTCTTGTCGCCGTTCGCGTGCTCTTTGATTTCGGTGTGCGGGCGCTGTTGTCTTGGATTGCCTTTCGCCGTGGCGTGTCTCTCGTACCGTGGAGGCCCATGCCAAGAGACACCCTGCTTGCCTCCAGGCTGCCCCGGGTTTCTTCGGGTTTCGGTGGCGTTGCGATGGGGAGCGTGACGTTCCCAGGCCAAACATCAATGGACGTTTTTGTGGAAGGCGGCTTGTGGAAGGTCCCTGCTGTAAGTCGAAGACCGATTTCTGACCACATCCACCTCTGGATCCTCGATTCTATGATAGGCCCTCGGGGGTGGAAGTGGGTCGTTTTTCCTTTGCCTGGGGCGGGGAAACTGCCCACCTCCACCTCTGGAAACCGCTTTTCGCAAGGCACCTCGGGAAGTGGGTGTGGTCAGAAATCGGTCTCCTAGCAAGTCTTCTCGCCCCCGTCTCTCCCGCTGCCCCCCCTCCCCGCGTAGAGCAGCTGCGCGGCGGCAGGCGGGACGTACGCGGTGTTCACCGTGAAGGCGAGAGGGCGCGGCCGCCCCCTCTTCGCTGCAGGGCCCCCTCGAGCGCCAGCGAAGGGGGAGGGGGGGAGGGGGTCGGAGGCCTCGAGGGGGTCCGAGGACTCTTTCGGTCTCCAGGGGCCGGGTTCGGGCCCCAGGACCCGGCAGGCAGGGGGGGGGCCAGGTTCGAGGTGCTGGGTCGGGAAGGTTTTTTGACGCTCTCGGCCTCCGGGGGGGGGGGAGGTTGCGTTGAGCACTTGAGAGCCTGTCCCTGGCGCCTCCCGGAGGTCTTCACGTTCCGGGGGCGCTCAGGCCGTCCCGCGGGCCCCCCCACCCCAGAGGAGGAGGAGGAGGAGGAGGAGGAGGAGGAGGAGGAGGAGGAGGAGGAGGAGGAGGAGGAGGAGGAGGAGGAGGAGGAGGAGGAGGAGGAGGAGGAGGAGGAGGAGGAGGAGGAGGAGGAGGAGGAGGAGGAGGAGGAGGAGGAAGAGGAGGAGGAGGAGGAGGAGGAGGAGGAGGAGGAGGAGGAGGAGGAGGAGGAGGAGGAGGAGGAGGAGGAGGAGGAGGAGGAGGAGGAGGAGGAGGAGGAGGAGGAGGAGGAGGAGGAGGAGGAGGAGAGGAGGAGGAGGAGGAGGAGGAGGAGGAGGAGGAGGAGGAGGAGGAGGAGGAGGAGGAGGAGGAGGAGGAGGAGGAGGAGGAGGAGGAGTGAGGAGGAGGAGGAGGAGGAGGAGGAGGAGGAGGAGGAGGAGGAGGATGAGGAGGAGGAGGAGGAGGAGGAGGAGGGGGCCGCTGTCGGGCCCCAGGACCGTCAGGCACGGATCTGGGGCGGAGGAGCGCACCGGATTCGGAGGCCTAGAGATTGACACCAGCACCAAGATCGGCGGTGTGCCTCCACCGAGGGAAGACGATCCCAATCTCGGTGACGGTGGTAATATCCTGGCTTCCAAGGTGACCGAACAGTAGGAGGTTAAGTCCGTTCTGAGACGTTCCAGAACGCTCTCAGAGCGTTCCGGAATGCTCTGAGAAGGCCGCGGCGGCCCAGACAGCCTTCGGAGCCGCCAGATCTCAGAGACCCTTGACTTATCTTATCCTCGCCCGATTCTGCTTAGTCGCTTCGCTCATTCCGCCGGCCCGTTTCGCATCACTGCGGCTGCGTTATGGTGTGCTCGTGCCCAGGGGGAGGGCAGTACGATCATCTTCGAGGAGATCTTTGGAGATGTGGCTCGCACCCTGTCCGAAGGGAGCTGTTAGACTGCCCCAGAGGGCGTCAAGATGGCTCAAGAGAGCTTCAGAAGAGTTCCGAGACGTACCTGTCTTACCCTGTCCGAAGGGAGCTGTTAGACTGCCCCAGAGGGCGTCAAGATGGCTCAAGAGAGCTTCAGAAGAGCTCCGAGACGTACCTGGGCCGAGGGTCGAAGTCCTCATGGATGCTTCTCGGGGTCTCTTCGGCGGCAGCCTCTGGGGAGCTTGATTCATCCTCACACGATTTTATCATCGTCCTGGCTCCGTCTTACTCTGCAGAAGCCCAGGTCACTCGGGGGTCCCCAAACGGAGTAGTGACCACAGTGTGTGGTGAGTCGGTGGGGATTCGGGGTCACCGGACGGTTTTGGGACTCGGGTCGTTCTCCGAGGACGCCTCGGGCGACAGGGGTCCCAAAACCGTGCGTTGACGGACCGTGCGGTGAGGTCTTGGGGGATGTCGAGGTCATCGCACGGTCCTCCTCCTCCTCCTCCTCCTCCTCCTCCTCCTACTCACCCTCCTCTTCCTCCTCCTCCTTCTCCTCTTCCTCCTCCTCCTCCCCCACCTCCTCCGCTTCCTCCGCCTCCTCCTCCTCCTCCTCTTCCTCCTCCTCCTTCTCCTCCTCCTCTTGTCACCGTACCGTTTCGGGACTCCAGAGTCACGCGTGCGGGGGCCACGCTTCGCGCGTCGCGGTCTGGGGCGGGAGGAGGACCTGCGTTGCTCCAGGGGGGCAGGCACTCTGAGGCTCGGGTCGGCGCCTGCTCTCCCTCCGCCTCCGCCTCCGCTCGCTCCTCGGCCCCTTCGAGGGGGGGGCGGGGGGGCCAGGCGAGGGCGCAGGGCGCGCGCGCGCGCCTGGTGAGGTGCAGAGCCGAGGGGAGTACTCCTCGATCAAGAAGCGGCGGGGGGGGAGGGGAGAAGGAGGAGGCAGAGTAGGAGGAGGAGGAGGAGGAGGAGGAGGAGGAGGAGGAGGAGGAGGAGGAGGAGCAGGAGCAGGATGATGAGGATGAGGAGGAGGAGGTCGAATAATCATACTACAAATAATAAGGCGAACAGTCAGAATACGAAGAAGAAGGCGAATGATCATAACAATGCGTACATAGCGCATAGTTGACAACAATGAGAGTAGTACTTCCAATCGTAGTCATATCAATGATCATAATAATAATGCGAATGCAAATGCGAATGCTGATAATAATGATGATAATCATGAAACTTCTACTCTTCATTTTACTACCAACAATAGTAACAAGGATAAGGACATAAGCCTAAAACGAATAAGGCGAATCTAAATAATCATGAATATTCATATTCAGAGGAGGAGGAAGAGGAGGAGGAGGAGGAGGAGGCGGAGGAGGAGGAGGAGGAGGAGGAGGAGGAGGAGGAGGAGGTGCGGGAGCGCCAGGGCCGCACGGGGAGGGGCCGAATCGGGGGAGCGTTCTTAAGACTCGAGTTCGCCGGAGCTCAGGTCTCCCGGCGCTTCTCGGTGGGCCCGTGCTGAATGTCTCGACGGTCCAGTCTTTCGGGGGATGTCTGCAGCTGAATGTCAGGCGATCGCATACATGGATCCAGGGGGCGTGGATTAGCGACGGGCCCCGTTTCCTCCATGGGAAATCGCGGATTTCCGCCGCCAAGCGAGGCGGCGCCGGCCGCATTTTGGGGAGGGCACCTCCCCCGATCCATGGATTTGGCGACAGCGCGCCAAATCCATGGATCGCTAATCCATGTTTGCGCGCCCCCGATAGAGGGCCCTGGAAACGACAGGGCTGTTTTTACACCGGTTCCGTTTTGCTGTTTTTGTTGCTGGTTCCGACGCCATTTTTTTTACTGGTGACGTCGCCATTTTCTACCGATCCCGGCTCCGGTTCCAATCCTGGAGCCGTTTTTTGTTGTTGCCTTTTCCGGTCGCCGTTTCTTTGCCGTTTCCATTTTCAAGTCTTTTTTTCGGAAACGGTGAAAAACGGCCCTGCCGTTTTCGGGGCCCACTAAGGTCTGCAGCGAGAGTTCGCGCCACATTTCAGATTGGGTCTCATCGTTTTCTTGAGGGCCCCGTCAGGCCAACCCTAGTCCGCCGACCCCGATTCTTACGTCTCCCCGATTTCGGGAGCGGAAAAGAGGGGGGTGATGACTAGGGGGGGGTGGATATCATGGCGCGGGCCATGAGATTTCCTCAGATTTCATGGCGCCTCTTCTTATTTCATTACGTCCCAGGCCCCCCCGCTGGGCCGCGCACATGCCGCCGGTCATGATTTGCACCCCCCCCTCTTGGACACCCCCCTCTTGGCCGCTCCCGACGATTGACAGAGGCGTGGATGGGGAAGAAGCGAACACAGAAACATACACTGTCGGAGCTACGCGCGTATCTCTTGGATCGGCGTTGTGCCCCCCTGGCGCCTCCCGCGCCGCTCCTGGCCCGCTGCGCTTGCCAGGGATGGGAGTGCAGTGCAGTTCGGTTCGGTTGCTAATGCATTTTGTTATCCTTTTAGACGGGGAGAAGCATTGGGCACGGGGGTAGAGGAGGACAGGGGAAGACGATGAGATGCCAGGGGGGGATGGGAGTGGATGATGCTGCTGCTGCTGATGATGATGATGATGATGATGATGATGATGATGCTGTTGCTGATACTGGCGTTGATGCTGCTGATGATGAGGATGATGTTGGTGAGGATGATGCTGGAAGGAAGAGACGATACTACAACAACGACAGTGGGAACCTCACCTCCGCCGTTGCAGCGTCTGCGGTACTGAAGGTGGATAGCAATGGTTTTCGATTGTGCATAGTAGGAATACACGGGATGAAGAACCAGCACGTCGTTGGGCTCTGACGGTGAACCCCACCTGCGCGGTGTAGCCGCAACGTCTGCCCGATGCTCAGACACACCCTGTTGTGTCTGCACCCTGCTGCTCGAGTGTGACGGCCACTCGTGATTGGATAGCGACTCCAGCCAGGCGGTACGGGCCCGTGGACGGTCGAGGCAATGCGAAGAGGTGAGGACGATGCCGATGACGATGACGACGATGATGGTGATGATGGTGATGGTGATGGTGATGATGCTTTTGCTGATGATGATGGTGATGGTGATGGTGATGGTGATGATGCTGATGATGATGATGGTGGTTGTGGTGATGATGGTGATGATGCTGATCGTGAGTATGATGAGAATTATGATGGTGATGGTGATCATGATGGTGTTGGTGATGGTGATGGCGATGGTGGTGGTGCTGATGAAGATGATGATGATGATGATGATGATGATGATGATGATGATGATGATGATGATGATGATGATGAGGCCAGCGACGACGAGGACGACGAGGAGGACGAGTACAACGAGTGCGACGTTGACGTCGACGACGATGCTGATGCTGATGATGATGCTGCTGGATAAGATGATAGTGTGGATAATGATGTTGATGATGGTAGTGATGGTGATGATACTGATGATACTGATGATGACGATGCTGATGCTGCTGATGATGATGCTGCTGCTGATGATGATGATGCGGATGCTGATGCTGATGATGCTGATGATGTTGCTGCTGCGGCTTTCTTCTACTGCTGCTGATGATGATGCTGCTGCTGATGCTGCTGCTGCTGATGATGATGATGATGATGCTGATGCTGATGCTGCTGCTGCTGATGATGATGATGATGATGATGATGATGATGAGATGATGATGATGATGATGATGATGATGATGATGATGATGATGATGATGCTGATGTGCTGATGATGATGATGATGATGATGATGATGATGCTGATGTGATGGGTGATGGTGATGGTGATGGTGATGGTGATGGTGATGGTGATGGTGATGATGATGATGATGATGATGATGATGATGATGATGATGATGATGATGATGGTGATGATGATGATGGTGATGATGCTGATGATGATGATGATGATGATGATGATGATGATGATGATGATGATGATGATGGTGGTGGTGGTGGTTGTGGTGATGATGACGATGGTGATCATGTCGTCGCCGAGGAGGATGAGCAGGGTTTTGATGGTGGTGGTTATTCTGGTCAGGACACCGAGGAGGAGGAGGAGGTGGAGGAGGAGGAGGAGGAGAAGGAGGAGGAGGAGGAAAAGGAGGAGGAGGAGGAAAAGGAGGAGGAGGAGGAGATGCCCGTCTGTAGGAGTACATGCCCGATCTAAAGCTACAGCGGGACCAAGGTAGAAGGTCGAGACCCCTCCGGGGAGGGTATCCTGCCGTTCTTCGTGGTTGTTGGAGGTTTCGTGCACCTTGGGGAGGGATACCCTTTTGGATGTTCTGTGTGTTTTGGCCAGCCGAGGGCCTCATGTTCTTGAATGGCGTCCTCCTGTTCCTAGGGAATCCTTCGGAATTCCGAAGGAGTCAGTCCTTCGGAATCGCCAGGGAATCCTTCGGAATCCCAAAGGAATCCTTCGGAATCCCTAGTGAATCCTTCGGAATCCCGAAGGAATCCTTCCGAATCCCCAAGGACGAATCCTGTTTCTGGTCCGACGGTAGAGCCAGGCCCGTGCTGGAGACTGCGCAGAGGCAGCCTGGCGTGCGCACCGCCCGGGAGGGCGGCGAGGAGCGGGCGCCCGCTTCTGCAGGGCAGGCGGGGGAGGATCCGCGAGAGCGCTCCCCTTGCGACAGCCCGGTGATGGTCGATGAGCGCCTTTCCACTACTCGCAAATAAAACGACGCGAAGATCGGGACAAAATCGGATCGGGGTAACTCGAAATCTCTGAGAATCGGCGGGTTTGGAGGATGTATTGGGCGCCGCGGCCGCTCCAGAGCGTTCCGGAACGCTCTGAGAGCGCTCCGGAACGCTCTGGAGCGATTTATCCCGATCCTAGCCCTGTTTTAGCAAAGTAACTGCTCGCAGATGGCCCGGATCCCTCGCGGGGGGCCTACGGTAGATTGTATCAGAGCGGACAGACGCTTTTCGGACGTTTGCCGGTAGGCACTTGGCGAGTCGTGGAGGGCGCTCGGCGAGGCGGGGTCCAGGCGGAGCAGGACCCCTCCCGAGGAGCTGGGCAGATGGGGAACAGGGGCGTACTCTGGGTTTCTTGATAAGCGTGGGGGGTGTACCCCCGCGACAGGGGGTCAACCTCGCCTCGTCGTCGCGCCGCGACGGGGTTCGGAGCGCCTTCGGCGCGCGGTGGCTGCCCGCGAAGGGGTCGATGTGGGGCCGTCGGCGGGGGCGACGCCCCCCCGACGCTTCTGAAGAAACTCGGCGTGCCCATACCGCCACCCTTCCCTCGTCGTCGCTTTGTTGGGGCCTCCCGGGGGGCCCTCGTGGCCACCGCTGGAGTCGCCTCGGGACCCTGGTCCGAAAGCACCCCGGGGGAGGTCCAGGGCGCAGCGGCATCGGTGCCCTGTTGTTGCCCCAGCGGCGCAGGCAGGAGCCCCAGGAGGGCCTTGGCATTAAGTCGGGCGTGTCCTTCTACAGGAGGGAAGTTCAAACATATCAAAAGTTGTCAGGGACTTTTTTTGACAATTTTCATAATTGTTGGAGTACTGTTGGGGTATTTTTTAATCGCCCCAAATCCCCCTGTCCCGACGTAAGCCTTGGCATCTCCTGGACATCGAGAAGTGAGTTTTTTTTCTCCCGGCAAGGACCATCGAGGAGCATCTAGGATCCTCTGGAAACAACTGCACGCAAAAAACATGCACGGGGAAGGGACGTCCGAGCGCTTGCAGGGGGCGGCGAGGGGCAGGTTCTCCGACTTCGAGAAGCTGCACGCCGAGCTGCTGCGGTCGTTTCCCTCGTCACTGAATTTCGACCTGCCCGAGAAGGCCCGCCCCTATCGCGGTTGCGGGTCGCGCGCGAGCGGGCGTCGCGTTTTTTTGCTCACGCCAGGCGTTTTCGGGCGATTGTTGGGCCCAGGACCGTGGCAGATCGATCGGGCTCGGAGCATGCTGCAGAAAGACGGGCCCAGGGCTCCGCCGGTGCTTCTCGGCGATGTTGCATTCCTCAGAGCGTGAATTACCTACCCCGCTTTCGCTTCCAGGCAAAACCAAGTCATACCACGCGCCTCCTCGTCAAGCGGCCTGACCAATACAGGCCGTAGTCTGGCATCGTTTGGTATCTCTTGGAAGCGAGGATGGTCAAAAGCGAGGTAGGTTTGTTTTCCCCCTAATTCCCTGGGGTCTCGGGGCACATGACGCTCGTCGACTGCCGCGGGTCCCCCCGAGCGCAACGCTCCTGGAGAGAAGCCGTGGAGCCACCTGGGGGGCCTCCTGGCAGAAGCCCCCCGGGCCGTCGTGGCCGCCCTGGTCCGGCGTCGGGCTGTCCCCGCGGCAGTCTTGGGACCGCTCGGGGCCGTTGTCGTACCGCTCAGGGGTGGCGTATTGGCTGTCTCGGCCGTCCTGGTCAGGTGCCGGGCTGTCCCGCGGCAGTCTCGGGACCGCTCGGAGCCGTTGTCGTACCGCTCAGGGGTGGCGTCTTGGACGTGTCGTGTGGCGGAATGCGGTCATCGTAGGGCGACTGGCAGGAAGTATAGAACTGCAATGCTTCCTTGTTGGTCTCCAGGAGTGTCCTGCAGAGCGAGCTGGAACCCTGGTCCTGGAGCCTCTCGGTGGAGCCCTGGGTCCTCTCGGGGCCTTCTGTGATGCTGCCAGGGCTCTCTTGATGTGCATGGTTGCGAATATTTCGGGCCATGTTGTAAGACTGTTCTTTGTCGGTGTGGAGATCGAAAGCAGCAGCGATGCGTAAAGGGTGTCGGGGGTTCGCCTTCGGGCAGTCCATGGGCATCCCGACCCTCCCGGACAAGCCAGAGGTCGCGATTGCAATGTCTTGGACTTTGCCTGTCATGTGGACTGCGAAATGCTCTTGTGCACGAAGCGAATCCCTTGCTGTCCGTGTCGTCAGTGACGTCCTCCTGCCGCACCTGCCGTCGGCTGCTTGGCCCTCAGCCGCAGTGGCCTGTCCCCCCCTACTTTCAGGAGGGGAAAAAACACACAGACACAGTTAATCGTCGATCCCCGGGAAAATACAGGAAGATATGGGCAGTGGGGGGGGGATGACAAAAACCCAGAACATATAGGAAAATATGGGGAGTTCTGTTATTTGTGTGCATTTCTCTGTGTGTCCCAGGGCCCCCCCCCCCCCCTACTTGCCCGGGCCTCGCCCGGTCTGTGGCCGCCGGCCGCCGGCCCCCGCCCCCGGGTGCGCTGCGACGCCGCCCTTGCAGCCGCTGCCAGCGTGGACCTCAGCCAGGCGGGGAGCAAAGCACACACAGACGCAATGAGCCGTCGATTCCCCAGACAAATTACGGGGGCGTATGGGAAGTGGGGGGGGGGGGGACCCGAAGAGCCAGAAGATATCGGAAAAGAGGGGGCATCTTTTGATGTGTGTGTGTGTATTTGTTTTGTGTGTTCCAGGGCCCCTTCACTCGGCTCCGCCTTTTTCCAGGACGCTCTCAAGGCCAAGGCGTGCAGACCCTGCCCGAGGAACTACCTGCGGGAGCGACTGTGTTGTCGCCGGTCTGCAACACCCCAACATACTTATACTATATGTGCGTCGCGCCCCCAGGGGCGACGCGCGCACCGAGAAATCTCATAGGATACGCGTCGTGGCGGGCGCTTTCTGGCCACACCGCTCGGGAAACGATGTACTACAAGATGGGTATGCTATATGTTCGGGTCGGACGCGCGCCTCCAAGGAGGACATATAGTAATTACTAGTATGTCTCTGTGTTGTCGCCGGTCTAGGGGCCTGCGAGCACCCAGGCCGCTCCCCGCCCTTCGGCGCTGCCCCGGCGCAGGAGCGGGCCCTGCGCTTCCCCCTTTTCCTCCCTCCTCTCTGCGGCCGCCCGCCCTTCCGCCCCTCTCCTCCTCCTCCTCCTCCTCCTCCTCCTCCTCCTCCCCCTCCTCCCCCTCCTCCTCCTCCTCCTCCTCCTCCTCCTCCTCCTCCTCCTCCTCCTCATCCTCCTCCTCCTCCTCCTCCTCCTCCTCCTCCTCCTCCTCCTCCTCCTCCTCTCTTGCAGTGCGGGCCGATTCGTGGCCTCTCGGGCTGGCCCAAAGGGGGGTCCAGCTGAGAAGGCGTGGTGCCATAGATTTGGGCAAGTGTGTTGCACGTGTATTGCGCTGGAGAATTGTGTGGCATTGTATTGGAAGAACTATATGTTGCACGCGAAAGTCCAGCACCACATCTGCGCCCCGGAAGGTACTGCACGCCCCCAAATGCATTGCAGCCCCGCCAATCTTTGGACGCCCGCAATGGGTACGGAAAGAATGGGTACAATGCCCAACAGCAGTTCCTGTTCATTCTGAACAGGACTCGCTGTCGGTGTCGCCGCGGCCTGTGTCCATTTGTGACAGAAGGCCGCCTGCCCAACAGCGGCCGCTGTTGGTTTGGGACAACATTCGTTGTCGGGCATTGTGCCCATTCTTTCTGTACCCACTTCGGGCGTCCAAACCATCTATTCCACAAGATCTATTGCGCCACCCCCTTGGTCGCTGGACCCCATCTTGGGTCACCCAAGGCCTCGTGCCCCGGCATCGCTCGGACGGGCGTGCGGAGTGCCTCCGTCGTGCTGCGGCATCAACGGCGCCGTGAGTCACAACATGTCGGTGTGTCCGACGCGGCTTCGGCGCGGATTCGAGGCGGAGACGATCCGCCCTCGGCGCGGAGTCGACGTTCGACGTGGATCCGACGCGGATAGTGACAGCGGCGCGACAGGGGGCACAACGTCCCCCGGAGATGCAGCATGACATCGCCGCGCTCCGCAGGGCATGGTGCGGAATTTCAGCAACGAGGCGCTGGCGGACAGGGCGAGGGCCCTGAACGCCTACCTCAGAGCGCTCTGTGGCCACAGGCGGGGCCCTCCCCCTGGCGGACCGCGGCGGGTCGGCCGGCCGCCGGCGTTTCTCGGTCTACCTCACTGCTCACTAAACCACCCCCGCCCACCCCGTAAACCTTCTACGGTAGGTTTGCGTCGTGTCGACCAGCGGCGACCCCAGCGCGGGCGTTCAAGGTTGAACGCCGCCGGCGACCCAGAATCGATCGATGTTGAACGATCGGACGTTGCTGCAGCGGCCGATCGTTCAAGGTTGAACGATCCCTGCGGTGTCAAAAACCAACGCTGGGGTCGGCACGACACGAACCTGCCGTAATGGGTTGGGGGGCTTCCGTTTTCCATGGTGTGTGTGTGTGTTTCAGTGCTCCGGAATGTCCGCCAACTGGATATCGACAGCTTCAACGGCGTCTTCGGGTTGGGTGGGGTGGTTTGGTTGGCATTCGCGATCGAAAGGATTTGGCGGGTTGTGGGGTGGAGGCGAAAGGAGGCAGGGATCGAACCACAGGTCATTTGCGGGATGACGAGGAGGAGGAGGAGGAGGAGGAGCAGGAGGAGGCGGAGGAGGAAGAGGAGGAGGAGGAGGAGGAGGAGGAGCAGGAGGAGGAGGAGGAGGAGGAGGAGGAGGAGGAGGAGGAGGAGGAGAGAGCGCCCACGCGCCGTGGCGCGAAGATGCCCACGCGTCGCGCGTCGTGGCCAGCGAAGGGAAGGGGCCGCCCTGCTCCGGGGTGGCGGCGCGGGGGCGCGAAGGTCGCCGCCCGCCTGTCGCGCAGCGCGGGGCGCGGTGCGCGAGGCTGGTCGGCCTCGGCCTCGTCATCGTCATCGTCATCGTTGTCGTTCTCGTCATCGCTGTCGTCGAGGCGTCGAGAGATCGTCATCGTCAGCGCCACGTCGTCATCGCCATCGCCATGGTCGTCCTCAGGGTTCCTCCCAGGGGCGGAGGGGATCACCTCGTGCGGTTCCAAGCGGGACCCCGGGGGCAAAGGGACTTCTGAGATGGGCGATGTCGAGGTCTCACGTCCGCTCGGCTGGGCCGGCAAGGTCGTCGCACGACGCTCTCGCTCGCACCTCGAAGTCTCGGATGCAGCGCCGCGGTCTCAGAAGGCCTCCTCTGCTGGCGTCCGAGCAGGAAACGCATCACCTGCCCCGCATTGCAGCATCGTGTGCCCTGCCCCCATCCTCACTGGGCAGGGGCATCCCAGGCCCACCAGTGGGCCACGGCATCCCAGCCCCACCAGCCCCCCGTCCCAGGTGGAGGTGGGCCGCGGAAGCGGGCACATATGTTCCAGGGCCCGCCCCCCTCCCCCCAAATCTAGGGGGATCGCTCACCACCCCTCCCTTCCCCCCCCTCCTTCCCCCTCAAAGCAAGAGCCCGTCGTGTGCTCCTGCACGACGAGGAGGGGTGGGGAGCACGCAGCCGCGCGCTACCGGTGCTGCGGGGCCGGCTGGGCGATAGGCCTCGGAAGAAATCAGCGAACACTCATGCCACATTCATTCGTCCCCCCCCCCCCCGCCCCCCAATGATCAATGTTGGCGGTGGGCTGGATAAATTGCACTTCGACCGCCGTCATCCCCGCGCGTGCCAGCTTTGAGTGTTTGGGGGGCGGGGGAATGCCCACTACTTGGTTCCCTCTACCAGATCACTAGGGGCGAGGCAGGCTTGATCCACCCTGGAAGCTGGGGACGTCGAGAGACCCCCGCGGAGCTGCTCCCGTTGAGATGCACGGTGTCTTGTGCTGCTTTCCGTGCCGTACGACCGTGAGAGGCCTACGGTGGATTCGCGTCGTGTCGACGGGCGACGGCCCCGCCGCCAGAGCTCAACGCTGAAGGCCGCTGGCGACCCAGAATCGGTCGAGGTTGGAGCCGATCGTTCACGACTGAGCAATCCCCGCGGTGTCAACAACCAACGCCGAAGTCGGCACGAGACGAGCCTGCCATACCCAGGTGCCGGTCGACTCCGCCCCAGTGTCGGGCAGTGATCTTCCTGGCCTCGACTTGGATCATCTTCTTCGAGTTGGATCTGCGACCTCGACTCGGACCACTTTCCCGGACCCAACTCGGATCATCTTAGTCGACTTGTATCATCGTCCTCGGCCTCGACTTGAACCATCTTTCCCGACCTCGTTTGACCTCAGCATCGGCCTCTATTGGATAGTGTTACTTTTGATTACCGTTGTTTGCCGGGCCAGCGGCTTGGCGGGGTGGTCGATGGTGCCATCCTGGCCGTGTTCGGGCCGTGCCCGTTTTCGTATTTTTTGAGTTGCTCGTGCCCCGATTGTGTCATTTGAGTGTTTGACAGTCTGTTCTTTGTTATGGCGTCCCGGTTTACTGTTGATTTATCCTTGCTCGAGGCCCGAATGTGCCCCAGTCTAATTCCTACAATGCCTTGACGGTGTCGCAATGGATCTGCGATGGTGGCCTACAGTGTTCTAATCGTAGAATTGTTTCGTTTGATGGTGCTTCGATCGCTTTGACGGTGACTGAATAATGCCTTAATGACGTTGGTTTGTGCTCGTTTGTCGAAGGTGCTCCGATTTCCGATCGTGTTTGATAGTAGTTTCACGGTGTCAGAATGATGTCCCGTTGTCGTGCCCCGTTGGTATTGTATCAATGCGTGTGTGTGTGTGTGTGTGTATGTGTAGGTTAACAGTTTTTGATTGTGACTTGACGACGTTGCGATGGTGATTTGATGGCTTTTTACATTGAGCTTTAGCGCTGTCTCGCTGGTGTCCCGATTTTCTGTGATGGATTCTTGATGGTGTCGCGATGAAGTTCCTTTGTGGAATGCTGAACGTTGTTTCTGTGGTGGGGTTGTTCTGTCTTAGTGGGGTTTGATGAGGTTGATTCGTGTCCCGATGATTTTTGGATGCGAGCAAGATGCCGGGATTCACCCCAGCTCCAGCAGTCTAGTCGGCCGGCATCACGCATTCGCGCACGGACGCGTGTGCGCAGGCACAGCAGTCCGAGCATGGCCGAGTGCTCAGCTGTGCTGGGCATGGGCTCAACGTCGGGTTCCCTTCGTGTGCTGGCGTGCAGGCCCGCTCTTAGGGCAGCTCCCTCCCGTCCGAGGCCCAAGGCGTGGACGCTCGCCACGGAACCTCGCTGGGTGGCTCACTGCGCTGTGGGATGGCTCTGGGCCTGCAGCGGGGGAGACGTGGCTGGAAGCACATGGCCGGGCGCCTCAGGGAAGCGTCCTGCGAGGTACCATCGGGCGCCGCAGGGAAGCGTCTTGGTAGGAACGTTCGGGCGCCGCAGGAAGCGTCCTGCCAGGTATCTTCGGGCGCCTGCAAGGAGCATCTTGGCAGCTACCTTCGGGCACCTCAGGGCAGCTCACTGGCTACAGGGCACCTCAGGGCACCTCGGATTGAAACAATTAACCTTAGCCATGCGAGTCCCCCAGAGGTGTTGCGTGTCTCTCGGTGAAGGTCCTCGTGTCGTGCGCGTAGGTGCCAATATCGCTACCCGTGCTCCGACCTATTTCATTCGACGTTGCTTCGTGCAAGGCTCGTGCGAGAACCAGGCGCAGAGGTGACAGATGCATTGGCGACGGTATATGCGGCCATGTGGGCGCAGGAGGAGGGTGAGGAACTGTAGGAGGAGGAGGAGAAGGAGGAGGAGGAGGAGGAGGAGGAAGAGGAGGAGGAGGAAGGATGTGGGGGATTCTGAGGAGGACGTGGTGGAAAAGGAGGAGGAGGAGGAGGAGGAGGAGGAGGGGAGGAGGAGGAGGAGGAGGAGGAGGAGGAGGAGGGGGAGGGGGAGGGGAGGGGGAGGGGGAGGAGGAGAGGGAGGAGCAGAGGAGGAGTGTCTGTGTGTGAGAGAGAGAGGGAACCAAGAGAGAAGAGAGAGGAGGATGGGAGGGGAGAATGACTAACAGCAGGAGGAGGAGGAGGAGGAGGGGGAGGAGGAGGAGGAGGAGGAGGGGGAGGAGAGGGAGGAGCAGAGGAGGAGTGTCTGTGTGTGAGAGAGAGAGGGAACGATAGAGAGAGGAGGATGGGAGGGGAGAATGACTAACAGCAGGAGGAGGAGGAGGAGGAGGAGGAGGAGGAGGAGGAGGAGGAGGAGGAGGAGGAGGAGGAGGAGGAGGAGGAGGAGGGGAGAAACACTGCCACCCCTCCCCCGGAGCGGACGGCAGGGAAGCGTCGCAGCACCCAGCGGCCCTCGCCTTCTTCGGCCTCGACGGAGGTGCCCGCCTGCCAGCGGCACGGGCGCTCACTGCATTCCTCAGCACGCTGACTCCTAGCAGGTTTGACCTGCTTCTGTTGCAGCTTCCGTCGCTCCGTCTTCGTCAGGGGCAACGAGAGGGGGGGATAGGCAAAAGGGGGGGATGCATCGACACGCAATCGCCTATTGATCGCCGATAGGGACCCGATAGCCCCAACCTGTCCAGAAAGGTTCGGATTCACTATCGGGGGCCTATCGCCGATCTATCGGCGATGTATCGCCGATCCCAGGCCGATGCAACTCCCCCTATGCCAGTCCCCCCTATCGTTGCCCCTCACTCCCTGGCGGCCCTGGGACTGCTCCTCATCCGGCTCCTTCCGCAGCCATGCTGGCCCAAGGACCTGTTGCGCTCAGCGAACAGCACGGGCACAGTCAACCCGCAGAGTAAGGATGAGCAACTTGTCCTAGGTTACCCTTGCATCCTTGCCCTTTCGGTCCATCCCTGGCAACTTTCGCTGGCCAGCCCCTTAGGCGTCAACATGGCTTTCCAAGGCCCTTGCATCCTGATCGTGCATCCTTACTCCGCGGGTTGACTGTACCGCCAAGCCAAGCTCTCGGTGGGCCAGGTCGCCACTGGGCCCTCGCCGGGGGCAGGCCGCCCTGCCCACGGGCGCGGCCCTGGCGGTACAGCTGCGCGCAGCCGCCTCAGGTTCTCCACTTCCTCTGCTCCGCGTGGAGCATGCCCGAGTCCTGATGGGCCTGTTTTATCACCCCCTGCCCAGAGACACTGTGACGAGCTGCGGCGGCCCCGCGGGCGAAGCTCCCCAGAGGCTGCACGGTGCGTGTAACCCCCACCTCGGATCGCCACGGCACGATGCGACTGTGAGAGGTTGATGCCGAGTCGGGCTAATTGCTCGACCCCCCAAAGGTCCAACCGAGACCACACGCAAGTCCTTCTTCTTCGTCCTCCTCGTCCTCCTCCTCATTCCCCCCTCCAACTTATGGTGGTGGTGGTGCAAACCAGGCCCATCCAGTCTTGCAGCGCCGGTTGGAAGGATGACCCGTGGGTCGAAGTTGTTCATGGTGGTGGCAGGCCATCCTTCTCGTCGGCGTGGTTGCACTGCGTGTGCTTGGGGCGACCTCCCCGCCAAGCGAAGTTGTTTGTGCGTCGGGCGCAAGGATGTCTGTCGGTCTCACGACGCCATGTCGGGGAGCAAGCAACCTGCGTTTGCCCTGGTTGATGCGGGTGGCAGGCAGAACTGGCCCGGCCAAGATCCGCCAGGGGGCCGTTAGCGAAGGCGCGGGGGGGGGGGGGCCACCAGCGCGACGACATGATCGTCACCCTTTCTCTCGACGCTCTCGCGGTGATCAAGCAGGTGGCTGGCCACCTCCCCCAACCTGATGCTCAGAATTTTTGGCCCCGTTCATCCCATCCACTCTTGTTGGCGTTTGCCTTTGTCATCCCAGGCGTCCCAGTTACGGAATACTGCAGCTGACCGTGTCTCGACAAGGCTTTGCTCAAGAGAGTTGATATGGATGAGAGCTTTTGGAGTCAGCCAAGACGCTGGACGACCTCGTGGCCACGGATAGCGCTGCTGGGGAGGCCTTTGAAGCAGGCCATTCGAGATTTGGCGGTTGGTGTTCTCAGGACCTCGAAGGCCAGCAGCAACGCTATCAACATCTCGTCACCCTTCAAGGATTGTGCTGACGACTCGGCTGTGGACATCGGTGCGTCGATCGACCTGTCAGGGCCAGCCTTCTCTGAGTCCGACCGGGTTGGTTTTCAGATGTTCCATTCCGACCAATCGACAAGCATCAATCTCTTTCTTCATGATGTTCTCATGGCCGTCAAGACTCAGGCTGGCCAGCATGAACCCGAGCACCGTGCGCGCATGGGTGAACTCCGCAGGAATCGGAACATCGGTGTGGCTGGAGTTGGCTCCGTTGGGGTGGAGCTTGAGCAGGCCCCCCTGCGTCGCATTCTACCCCTCGGGCGGCGACCTGCGCCCCTGGTGCCACGGTCGTGGGATCCTCAGCTGGCGCGGCGGGTCTCCGGCAGCCCCGGCCAGCGGCTCCCCGATCAGATCCGAGCGATCAGAAAACCACAGCTGGCCAGATCGAGGTGGAGTTCCCGGCCAAAGCTAAGGACAATGCCGCTAAGGCCAACGATGAGGTCAGAGGCGAGGCCAGGAACGACGCACCAGGTTCTTTGCCCAGGTTCTCCAGATGCAGCAGGCGCTGACTCTCCTGCCGAGACCCTGAAGTTCAGTTATTCCTCCATGTCGTGCTGGGGGCTCACGGCTTCCAGGGGGATTTCTCGCGCGGACGCCGATGTCGTGGTTTTTGCCGAGCGTATCAGCGCGGGCGCAAATCAGTCTCCATGGTGAAGTCGTCGCGCAAATTTGGGTGGCGAGTCGTGCCTCGCGAAGCGCGAAGCGTGCGAAACATACGCGTGCGACGCCTCATCCCGCGTCCTCGTCGTGGCTCGTTCGTACCTGGTGTAGCGAGCCTGACGTTCCCGGCTGGTGACTGGTCTGAGGTGGGCTCCTCGCGATGGGTCGCGCGCGCGTTCGCCTCGGGCGCGCCTCGTTCATTGTAATATCAGCGCCGTCAGGTACCCCCGCGCGGGGAAAGTTGAACGTTGCTGAGTTTGGGCAGCTGGCGGCGACTGGAGTTCTTTTGGGACTGGTCGGCGCCCCCCGCTGTTGTCCTTGCCGTCGGGCGGGTCGATCGGGGGGTCTCTCGGGGCCCTGGCATCGCTCGGACGTGCGCGCTTTTTCCTCGGCGAGGGCCATCGAGGAGCATCCTTGATCAGTTGCCGAAAAAGCCACGCACGAAACCGACAAAAAACACAGGGGATGGACGTCCGAGCGATGGCCAGGGGCCCGGGTGGCCGGGCCCCCCTTCGGCCCCGCCCCGACGCCGATGGCCGGGCGGCAGAGTCGCCTTCGCGGGCGTCGCCATCGGCGGCCTCGAGCACGCCCTCGGCTCCTCTGTCTTTTTGAGTCCGCGCGCCGCGCGGCGGGCGCCGCTCCGGTCTCGCGGAGCGCCCGCGCAGGCCGCGGCCTCGGAGTTCCCGCCGCTCCCAGGGGCCACCAGGGCGCTTGGCATCGCTCGGACGCGTGCATTTTTTTCTCGGCGACGGCCATCGAGGAGCATCCTTGATCATTTGGCGAAAAAACCCACGCACGAAAGCGAAACAAATACAGGGAATGGACGTCCGAGCGATGCCCAGGGCGTGCGCAGCAGCGCGACCGAGGCCCCTGCAGCACACGGCGCGGCAGCTGCAGGGGCTCCGCGGGCCCACTGCTGGGCCCTGGCGGGGCTCCTCGTGCCGCGCCGCCCAGCCTTGTTCGGTGCCGGCCTCCGAATGGCGCCCATGCTGCCGCTGCGCCACGATCATTCGAGTGTCCCCCAGGCCTTGGCGAGTTATCCAGTTGGTCCCCGCTCTTCAGCCTGGGGCGCTTTCGAATTTGGGCCTTTCTCAGGATGACGTCTTCCCGCGCGTCGGCAAGGGTCCGCTGCCCAGGTTCAGGGGAGTTCCCCTGTTAGCGGTCCAGGTCCAGGTTGATGGTCCCTGTTTAATTGATGCGGATAATCGCCGCTGGCAGTCGGCTTATGTTCAACTCGGGTGCTGCGCTGACAGAGTCGGATCCCACGGCGCACCCTCAGCCTGATTTTGACCGCGCCGGTCAATTCCATGCCACCCCAGTTGTGCTCTCGCCTCAGGTGCCCCCTTCAGCCGCCAGCCGATCGATGCTCAGCTGATGGGGGTGTTTCACGCGTGGTCCCGCGATTCGGGGGCGTTCCTTCGACGGCCTCGGGCGGGCTGGAGGGCGTGCTTGACGCGTTGCGCCAGGCCGATGACAGGGTCTACCGTTCTGCGCCCAATGCGCGCGCTGCTTCGTGGCAAACATGGCTTGAGCATGCTTGTTACCGCCGCGCAGGCCAAGCCCTCGCGCTCATGCGAGCGTCGGCAGGCCCGCTCCCCCCCTGACAACGTTGGGCAATATCGGCCCTGCTCGTTCTTGCAGGGAAGAGCGGAGGCGTGGGCGGCCATGTGGCCGCAGCATTCATTGTTTGCGAGGTGCCCGTGGCACGCTAGCTGGCCCGCGTGCGGTTGCTGAGGGGTCGCCGCGCATGCCATCTATTAGCGAGGCCCTTTTTTATTTTACCTTTCTCGCCCTCCATGCCAGACTCTCTGGACCGTCGTTTGAACCGTACTGGGCCTTGTTTGGTGATGCTGAGCAGGAAGGATGCAAAGCCAGCATGTCGTTGTCATTCTGAAGAGTATACAAGGGCATTGCACTTCTGCGTTTCAGCAGGCATCTCCGCCGATCGCTCTCATTCCTAAGCCTGGCGGGCCAAGCGGCCAAGTTCTCGATATGCGGCTCCGTCTGCTCCTTCCATTTCCGTCCGGGGATGATGTCGCCACCCGCTGGGGCCGTGAATCGCGCAGACCATCGGAGGCCGCAGTGGGGGCTTCCTCTGAATGCAGCGGGGCAGCCCGGCACGCTGGAGACGGGGCTCGCTTCCCGCGCAGGCTCCTCGGCAGGTGGGCTTCCTGGAAGACGCGGAGAAGTCTTGCGAGCAGGCTCGTGCTGAGTATCTAGCCCAGGCCGCCGCCCCCCTCCAGTCCCCAGCAGTCCTTCGCCTTCGGAGCCTGGGCGTCGGCGGTGCGCTGCAGCAGAAGTCCTCGGACTGCTCCTCCTCGCTTCCCCTGCGCCCCTGCCGTCCTTCCCCTCGTCCTCGTTTTCTCTCCACGGTGCTACTCAGGCATGCTGTTGCTCGTCCTTGACTCGTCGGGTTCCTCGTCCTCGGTGTCTCCAGATTCCTCTTGGCCTCCCCCCCCTTTCCCATCCAGCATTATCATGCCCCGCGTGGTGATGCGTCCACCCGCCTGCTTAAAACATCTTCAGCGCACACACTCGTATGCCATCGCCCTTGCCTCGTCCAGATGCAAGGTCACGCCCTCTCCTGTCATCCGTCACCTGTATATATATATATATATAAATATCAGTTTTTTCCTGTTCTTCCCCCATGTGCTCGTTTTTTATTCAGTGTTTTGCCGACCGGCGCGGGCCCTCGCACCCCCCCCTCCCCCATGGAGTGGATCTTGAATGTTTGTGGCGCCTGCTTCGCGCGGGTGGAATCTCTCTACAGTCGCATTAAGCAGAGGTCTGGAGCCAGACCCCCCCCTCCCCCCCCCTTTCCGCCCATTGTCGAACCGCCGAATAAAAAAACTCACCATCTCATCGCAATGTTCATATTCCTATGCAGTGTCCTCATAATCCTCCCCCGCTGCCTCCCTCCCTTTCCTCTTCTTTGCTCATCCGTTGGCCCCCCCGTTCCATGACTTTGTTCCTTGTCATCCTGCGCGCACTGGTGAGGGCAGTTCTCTCTGACCTGCCTTGTTATCGTCCTGTCTAGCTGCCTGCGGCAAGTTCGGCCACCATGACAGCGCAGGTGTGACGACGCTTCGTGCCTTGCCCAACAGGCCGTAACATTTGACGCCTCAAACTTCCATTCGTTCGTGGGTTGTCATGCGGCGTACTTGTGCCGTCGTGAGGCTCTGTTCAGCCTCTCTGGGGCCGTCCTGGAGTCCTCCCGGGCCGTCTTGGAGACCTGTTGGCCGTCCAGGGAGTCTGTGGGAGCCATCTGGGGACACTTTTTGGCCGGGGCCGTCCTGGGCTGAGAGGGGGTTCTCTTGGGGCCTTGCCCAGGGCCTTCGGGTGATTTCTTTCGTAGGCCTTCTTGGAACCATCTGCGAGTGAGCACGCCCGCCGCTTCCTGCTTGCACTGTAACTTGTTTTTCCCTCGCGCCATATATGGGCCCGCCCTCGTGCGAGCGGGGTGACTTGACTTGACTCTTGGAGCCATCTTGCACAAGCGGGTCCCGGGACTGCCAAACCATTGAAACACCACAAAAAATGTTTGTATCTTGGATGGTGTGGACAATTTTGGAACAGTTTTGGGGGCCCAAAGCCAATCGGGAGCGAAACGGCGGGAAAGTTACTTGTGTGCCTTCGGTGTTGTTAGGAGTTTGGCCCCTCGGGGGCTTCCTTGGACGGCTCCGTGTCCTCTTGGAACCGTCTGGGCTTGGACCTTGGGCTAATCGGAGACATTTTGGAGGCCATGTTGAATTATCTTGCACCATCTGGAGCCATCTTAGAGGATCTTTTCGGCTGACTCGAGCCATCTTGGGCGCTCTGACGCCTCGCAGTCCCCCCCCGTCCAGACCTTGGTAGGGGGTATGGGGGAGACTCTAGATCCTCTCCTGAAGGGAGAGAGAGAGAGAGAGAGAGAGAGAGAGAGAGAAAGAGAGAAAGAGAGAGAGAGGGAGAGTGTGTGTGTGTGTGTGTGTGCGTGCGTGCGTGCGTGCGTGCGTGCGTGCGTGCGTGTGTGTGTGTGTGTGTGTGTGTGTGTCTGTGTCTGTGTGTGTGTGTGTGTGTGTGTGTGTGTGTGTGTGTGTGTGTGTGTGTGCGCGCGCGCGCGCGCGTGTGTGTGTGTGTGTGGTTGCGTTTGTGTGTGTGTGTACGTTTGTGTGTGTGTGTGTGTGTGTGTGTTTTGTTTGTGTGTGTGTGTGTGTGGGATCGCCAAGCGGGTTGGTGGAAGTCGGAGGAGAGGACGACGAAGAGGATGGAAGAGGGAACGGAGGAGGAGAAAGGGGGGGATGGTAATGATGACGATTGAGGAGGGAGGTATAAGAAGACGTGAGGCAGGGTGAGAGGGATTAGGAGGATGATGGGGAGGATACGGAGGATGCGAGGGAGGACGACGCGGATGTGGAGGGGGAGGACGAAGGATGACACCGACAACGATGATGGGAGGGGTGGCGGCGACGACGATTATACGTATGACGAAGATGGCGACGACCTGGAGGAGGGGTTGGCGACTGCTCCAGGAGATGAATGCTCCAGGACGAAGGGGGCAGACGGCTCAGGAGGAGTGAGCCGTTGATGAGGAGGATCAGGAGGAGCAGTAGGAGGAGACATGGCCGCTCCTGGAGAGGATGCGAGCACGAGGGCTAGGAGGATGAGGAAGAGCACGGGCAGCAGGAGGGATATGGCAGGGGGAGGGGAACGAGGACGAGTTGGAGGGCGTGACGGGGAACGCGTGCAGAAGAGATCGGCGGGGACTTCTGGGGACGCGAGGGCGGGTGAGGAGAGGCAATGATGGCAATGCTAATGGAAACAGGTGGTGGAATTGGCGACGAAATGTACCAGGGTGATGAGGAATGCTGGCCCGATCAAGCATCAAGGTGTACCACTCATGCTGCCATGCGCCCTCCCGTTTCAAGCCTCCTCCTCCGTAATCCCTGTAAGAACTTGGCACCGCTTGGACGTGTGCCAGTTTCTTTGGCAAGGACCATCGGGGAGGGCCACCAGTGGAACACAATACACGCACGAAGCCGACACATGCGCGGGGAAGGGACGTCCGAGCGATGGCGACAGCATTCCTCCTCACGTCGCGAAGCCCCTCCTTCGCGCTCTCCCCCCACGGAGAAGCAAGCTTCCCGTTGGCCCGACATTCTGGCGGGAGCTCCGTCTTCGGGCTGCATGCAGGCCAGGGGCGTGCACAGCGACAGCCCCGCCTTGAACATGAGCTGCCCTCCATCCGCAGAGCTGCTGCACCCTTTCATCGCCCCCGTCATCAAGCCGTACGGCATCTCGAGCAACAGTCCCATTTCGGACAGGACTCGCCCTCGGCTCGTGCAGCCGCTGCGCAATGGCATTCTTGTATTGGCAGCTTTTGCGCAACTCCCAGGCGGTGTCTCCATTTTGACAGGCAGCCGCCGTCAGTCCGTGCATTTGTGCGCGGCTCCATGTCGAAACCCCCGTTTACAAACTACTTGCCCTTCATCCGCGTAGCTGCTGGAGATGCTTGAGACGAGCGTGGGCGACAAGGTAATTGCGCCAATCTGAAGACCATCCGCCCTCCAGCCCTTTCAACCTCGTGCACTTTTGAAGACGAAAGCGGGTGGCGCCAGCGCGAGAGAGCTGTTTTGAACGCCATTCGGACGTGTAGCTGCTTCGAGTTGCACGATTCAGCATCGTAAGCGTGAAGGGTCGCTGTCGGCTCGCCCATCCTGCCCTGACGACACGCGGTGGTGCGACAAGGAGCACTTGTTTAGAAGGAAGAGGGATGGAAGAGGACGCGCAGGGGGGTGCCAGGCTTCACGGGATGGCCTTCCAAGCCGAAGATGTCGACGAGGAGGAGGAGGAGGAGGAGAAGGAGCGAGCAGCAGCGAGGCTGGAGGGGCATGAGGGAGGGAGCAGTGACCCAGATTTCCAGCGTCGTGTTCTTTGACGACGTCGAAATCCAGAGGCACGGTAGGTTCGTGCGGCGATGGCGCGCCCGCGACGCCGGCGAAGGCGTTCACGGCTGAGTATCTCATGATAGAACGACGCGGAAGCACCGAGGGACACTGTAACGCCGTTGGGCCCGACGGAATTCAACCTCGAACGATCGGGGCCGCGATCGATTCGAGGTTGAGCGATCGACGCTCGTCGTCGCCGCACAGGCCTGCCGCAGGGGTCCCTTCCCCTGCGGGCGGGCCTCTCGTTTCCCGAGGCGTTCTTGTTTGGGTCTGGACGGCCACTGGCCCGCCGAGGGCCGCCAGCAGCCGAGCGTGGTGCTTCCTCTCTCAGCAGGGGAAAAAACACACAGACACAAGTAATCGTCGACTCCCAGAAAATATGGGCAAGTATTGGAAGTGGGGGGAAGACAAAAACCCTGAAAACATGGACAAATATAGGGATTCGTGTTATTTGTGTGCATCGATTTGTGTGTCCTGGGGCCCCTTCAATCTCCTCTCGCGGTCTCTTTGTGTTCTCAAGGCGGGCAGCGCCGCGGGCAGCTTCTGGCAGCTTTCGTCCTCCGTTGGGCCCTCTCCCCCTCCTCCCCCCCCTCCCTCCCTCCCTCCCTCCCTCCCTCCCACTTCCCCCTCCCACTCGCCGGGGCCCAGGGCCGCCAAGAGAAGGGCGCGGGTGGGGCGGCCAGCCCAGGGGGAGGGGTCCAGGTCTCCGCGAGTTTGCGTGAAGTCGGGCCTGTTCCTGTACAGGAGGAATATTCCAAGGCAGTCAAACAATAGTCAGGGGGCGATTTGTCTATCATGTTTGAGCATGTTGGGTAATTTTGGGCTATTTTGAATTGCTCGTCCAAACTTTAGGGGTACACGCGCGAGCTAATCGTATATTCACACGGCGTTGCGTTTCGGGTCGTAGCCCGGGTCTCCAGCGGCCGTCCGGGGCGTTGCAGGCACCCCCCGGAACGCTTTTGGCGAACGCCCGAGGAGCTCCAGCTTCCACACTCTCTGCAGCGAGAGGGGGGGCGGGTGAGTTTTGGTCAGCTCTTGGGCGGCGGCACCGCCTCGCCCCGGCGCGTGCCTTTCCGTGCTGCGCTGCAGGTGCGGGCCGCAGAGGCGGAGGCGCCTCCTACGTGCACGGCCCCTCGGCCGCCGCGGCCCCCGAGCCCGTGCCGAACCGCGCCGGCGGGGCCATCAACGGGCGTGCCACGGAGGGGCCGGGGGCCGGCCGCGCGCAAGGCGGGCCTGGCCCTCCTGCAGGAGGAGCATCCAGAAACAGAGGGGCTCACACGCGAACCCTACCCCTGCCCCCCACGATTTCTGAGGGGGAGGGTGGGGTTCATTTCGTTTGGGAGCTCCCGAGCGAAGTGAACCCGCTCTCGACCGGCCCCTTCTTGGCCTCTCTTTTCGCTGGCCGCGTCCCGCTCGCGGCATGTCGACCTGGCCTTTTCCGAAGCCCCAGGGTGAAGTCGGGCACGCCACTCTACGGGAGGAATGTTCAAACAAATTGTCAAACGATAGCCAAGGAACGATGTTTTGAACATTGCATCTGTTGTCGAATATTCTCACGTTTCCTCCAGCATCTGCCTGCAGGAGGGCACGCCCTTACCTTTGCGTCCTCCTCGTGCGGGCTGGCGGTGCACCTGCCGCATCCTTCATGTCGTGATCTGCCACGGCGCGGGGGTGTGTGTTCCCACCCTCTAGGCCTCCTAGGTGGGGTCGGAGGATCTCCCCGCATCGCCGATGTATCGCCGATGCATCGCCGATGCGGCTCGATGTGGAGTCCGATGTTCTCCACGCCGACGGCGCCGATGCATCGCCGACGTTGCCGATGCGGCACGATCTCCCGACCCCATCTACTCGGACCCCATCTACTCGGACCCCCTTCCCAGGGATCGTTTTTTGCACCCTGAGTTGTTTTTTTGACCGTCCCGAGGCCCGGCGAGGGTCCCTGGAGGTCGAAAGTAGCCGACCCCCCCCCCCCCGACGTGATTTTCCACAGCGCGAGGAGGTCTGGGGGCTGCTCCCACCCCCTCCTCGCGCCACTCCTCTCCGCGGCTGCCGCCGGCAGCAGCGCCGGCCTGCCGCCGACAGCAGCGCCCTCGCTGGTGTCCTTGGCGGACCCAGCAGACCCCTAGACTAGGCTGCGGAATGGGGGGCAGATGCTCAGGCGAGAAAATCCCCCATGACTCCACAACTCAGGCCGGAACAGCCCCAAGGCTGCCACCTTGCGCCCACCATCGATTTGGGTCTCCCAGATGGGGTCGGAGCAGGTGGGGTCGGAGGATCGCGCCGCATCGCCGATGCATCGCCGATGCGGCGCGATGTGGAGCCCGATGTGCCTCACGTCGATGTCGCCGATGCAGCGCCGATGCAGCGCCGGCGTCGACGATGCCTCGCCAGCGCCTCGCCGATGCACCGCCAATGTACCGCCGCTGCGCCGCGATCCTCCGACCACATCTACTCCGACCCCACCTAAGGGGCCTCTACACTTTGCGCCCACCATCGGAGAGCCCATACCCCCTCGAGTCATGGAAAAAATACGACGGAAGGTTTTTCGCTACAGTGCCGTTTTAAATACATGCTCCGCGTGCGGATCATGTATTAAACATGGGGGACTTAGTATTGAAAACAACGATGCGGTTCTGCATACATTTATTCAAACATTAATCATGTAGTAGCCATCCTATATTTTTATAAATCCTATGTATTAAAAACTGCCCCGTATTTTCAGCGTCTCGGGGACCGTGAAACAGCGGCCCAGGGCGAGACACCGGTCCCGGGGACTGTTTTCGAGGACTTTGGGGATTCACGCCATGAAACAATCATGATTTCGGGGGTCTGGGAACAAAGCACGGCATACGCAGAATGTTTTCGGAGGCCCAGGCGGATTCTTTGGAGCGTTGTTGGGCCTCCCTGGCAGCACTCTCCAGGAGGAGACAAAAACACGAAGACACAATTCATCGTCGGCTCCCAGGAAAATATGGTGACATATGGGAAGTGGGGGAAGACGAAAGGCCAGAAAATATGGAACACATATGTGGGACATCTTGCGGTTTGTGTGTGTTTATGTGTTTGTCCTTGGGCCCCTGCAACTCTTTGCTCCAGCAGTTGCCACCTTTTTCGAAGAGGAGCGCATGGCACAACCGAGCACAAGCTTTCCGAACTCCGCGCGGACCGCCGAGAAATCATGCTTATGTAGCTGTGTTTTCCCTCTACTCTTAAGTCGGGTGTGTCCCTCTACAGGAGGAACATGCAGCAATAGTAGAACATGTCAGGGGACGATTTTTGATTATCGTTCTGACATTTTTTTGTTTTTTCTTATATATAGATATATATATATATGTGTGTAAAACAGTATGTGTAAAGTTTTCGTCCCAAATCCACTCGTAGGGGGACATGCCCGACCTCACTCTACTCGAGGCTCCAGATCTCCGGCGATTGTTTATTGAGCAATGGTCATGCGATATACCCACTTCGAGAAGGGGCACGCCCCCCGTCCGTGCAGTCACTGCACGTGCTCCTTCTTCGAGGAGCCTCGTCCTGCTCTGGAAGCCCGGACGGCGGCAGCCCGGGGCACCGAGGCGAGAGCCCCGCTCCGAGGCCGCTGCGCCCTCCGCCCGCGTCGATTCGGGAAGGAACAAAAGCACACAGACACAATGAATCGTCCACGCCCAGGAAAATATGGGAAGCTGTGGGAAGTGGGGGGGAGACAAACACCCAGACAATATGGGGAAATATGGGGAGCCCTGTTATTTGTGTCGATTTATTTGTGTGTCCCAGGGCCCCTTCGTCGATGGCTGCTTCGAGGCAACAGTGTGCGCGGCCAGGGCGAGCCGTCGATTCCGAGAACGACCCGAGAGCACGCGGCGCCCGCACGATCGGGCGGCCAAGGGGGGGGGTGATGACTGGGGCGCTTGGCATCGCTCGGACGTGTGCATTTTTCTTTCGGCGAGGACCATCGAGGAGCATCCTTGATCATCTGCCGAAAAAAACACGCACGAAACTGAAACAAGCACCGGGAATGGACGTCCGAGCGATGGCCAGAGGGGGGTGGATATCATGGCGTGGGCCATGCTGTCTCCCCAGATCTCATGGCGCCTCGTCTTATTTCAATGCGTCCCTTGCCCCCCTCTTGGCCGCCTTCCGCGCTCGCGGTTGCGACGCCGAAGGTGTGTTCGGGGGCGGCAGAGAGGGGGGTGTGGACTAGGGGTGGGTGGATCTCATGGCGGGGGCCATGAGATCTCCCCAGATCTCACGGCGCCTCTTCTGATTTCAATGCGTCCCCGGCCCCCCTCCTGGCCGCCGCCGCGCTCGCGGCTGCGACGCCGAATGCGTGTTCGGGGGCGGCAGAGAGGGGGGTGATGACTAGGGGGGGTGCGGATCTCATGGCGGGGGCCATGAGATCTCCCCAGATCTCATGGCGCCTCTCCTCATTTCAATGCGTCCC